TGCTGTTCCCTCCCCCAACTCCCCAATAAAATCTTTAAAAAAAAATCTCTTGCTATGATTATGGAATTATCTATTCTTTTAATTCTGTCAATTTTTGCTTCATGTGTTTTATAGTTCTGTTATCAGGAACATACTTATTTATGATTAGGCACATACATAATTTCTTCCTGATTAATTGACCCTTTTATTTTTATTAAATATCCCTTTTTATCTTTGGTGATATTTTTTGTCTCAAAGTCTATTTTTCTGCTATATAATAACCTGCTTATTATGCTTATGATATATCTTTTTCCATCCATTTACTTTCAATCTATCTGCCTCTTTATATTTAAAGTGAGTCTCTTTAAGACAATATATTCATGGGGTTTGTTTTTTTTTAATTTCTAAATTTAAAAAAATTCAAATTTTTTTTTAATTTTAGAATTTAACATTCTGACAATCTCTGCCATTCCATTGGAGTGTTTAGCACTTAATCATTTAATGTAATTATTGATAAGGCTGGATTATTGCTATCATTTTATTGCTTGTTTTCTACTTATTCCATCAGATTTTGTTACACTGTTTCTGGTGTCTTGCCTCTTTTAGGTTATTTGAATCTTTTTTATAATTCCATTTTAATTTATGTATGGCCTTGTAGCTTTACCTCTTTCCATCATTTTTTTTTTTACCAGCTGCTTTAGGGATCACAATATGCGTTATTAGCTTTTCACGGTCTACTTGAGTTAGTATTATACCAATTCATATAAAGTATAGAAACCTTGGCTTTGTATAGGTCCATTAACCTACTCCACATTGTCCTTTAGGCAATAGTTGTCATTTGTATTATGTCTACCTACATACAGTATAAAGTCATAGACAATATCATAGTTTTTGCTTTGAAGTCATGTATTTAAAGGTATTGATAGGAAAACAAACTTTTATATGCAGTGATTCTCATTATTTGCAGTAGTTACATTCTATGAAGTCACAACACACATCAAATTGGTGATAGTGAACCATAACTCCTTAGAGGAAATACAGGGTTAGTTTCCTATGAGTCTCTGGTCATGATATTGCTAACTGATCAATCTTGTTTTATGTATGTTTCTGTTTAATGACACCTTATTTAATGTGTATTGTTGATTCATTAACATTAAACTGATGGCTGACAGCACTACAACTCATCTTGAAGAAAGATTATCTAACACGGATGTTCTCCATAAAGCACTTTATAGCCTTCTTGGGCTCAGAAACACTAAACAGCATTTCAGCATTACATTTGAAGCCCATTTTAAATAGCAAAGGCATAGAAAAAAAATATCACTAGATTGACTATGAAAAGACACCCATTTATATTATGGGACCTGAAACAAGAAGGCAGAGCATTGCCTTTTTGAACTCAGCTCGGAACGTGCTAGGAATGTGCACTGGGCATTGCCAATTTTTTCACTGTTCTGCACTTGTCCCTGAATGACTGTGAAAACACTGAGTATTGATTCTGAGGTTACAAATATTAAGAAATATTAGCAAGTAGATGAATTCACAAATACAGAATCTGTGAATGAGGATTGACTGAATTGCCTTGAACATTTTTCACTTCTCATGTTCTTCCTTCTTTCCTGAAATATTGAGTTTCTATTTGGCAGCATACCCTTCAGGTCATAGAACTTTCTATAGTATTTCTTGTGGGGCAGTTCTGCTGGAGACTAGTTCTCTTTGTTTTTGTTTCTCTGAAAATATCTTCATTTTGCCTTCATTATTGAGGAACATTTTCTGGATTGGCAGTTTTTTTCTTCAGCTCTTTAAAGATATTGATACACTGTCATCTTCATAGTTTCTGATGTGAAATTCATGGTGATTCAAATTATTATACTTTTTTATGAAGTATTCCATTTTTCTCTGAATGCTTTCAGATTTTTCTTTATTTGCTTTTCAGCAACTTGACTATGATGGTTCTAGATATAGTTATCATTATAGTTATCCTGCCTAAGGTTTATTGGGCTTCTTGGATCTGTAATTTTATGTCTCTTAAGATGTTGGCTTTCCTCAAACATTTGGTGATTCTTGGATTTGTGGACATCTGTGTATTTGAGATTCATTTTTTTCTAAACTGCTCTAGAGGAGGCTGTGTCTGTTGTACACGCTCCCTGATGGGAGGAATACTTTCTGTTGCCACCTCCTGAATACCTGTCATTGTTTAGAGGTATGGGGAAGGGTGGGCATGCTGCTGAACAGGAAGAGCTGGTAGCTAGTGTTCTGAGTGTAAGCTTTCTGATGATTCCATGTGTCACCAGCCACACGGGCACTGTCCTATACTCTACCTAGAGACAGGTACCTCTGTTGCTATCATGGGATAGAGGGTGAGGAAGCTTCAGCAGGCTCACTGCTCCTACTGTGATACTCCGATTAATTTTTTTGTGGTTTAGTCTGGACTTTTTCCTGTTCCTAATAGCCACCTCTAGATGTGAAATGCTTTTGGTGTTGCTACTACATTTCGTAGCAGTCCTGTCTTCTTCTTTTTGGAGTTGTTAATCCTTTCTTCCGTTCAATCCAGCCTTCTATCCATCTTTCAGGGAATCCTTATAAGTTCTGGACCATGAATAACTAACTTTGTTTTCCAATGCACTTGTGAACTGAATTATTTTGAATATGTCTTTTCTGACTGATCTAGGGATTTGTGACATGAAGAGAAGGCTGCAGCATGTGCAGTCTGCCATTTTAACCCTCTGTCGGGTACAACCGATCTCACAGATTCATTGCACACAGATTTTCAAATATCTAACAGTTAACTTAAGTATTGTGACTCATCGCTTCCGTATCTTCCCCCCTACTGTAACCTATCGCCAGTCGTGTTTGTGACTTAATACAGTAAAGACGTATTTCATATTTGAAAATTTGTGTGCAATGAATCTGTGAGATCAGTTGTGCCCGATGGAGGGTTAAATCAAACTTTTTTTTCTTTTTTTTTTTAAAGCAAGCAATGGTGATAATAGCCTGTTTAATTATGTAGTTAGGTGTTGGAGTTCAGAACTAGTTACCCCAAGACATGCCTCTGTGGTATGCAGATTGTTTTGAGCTGAAGGCAATTTTAGCTCAGGGCTCAAGAGAAATTTTTGTCCTTCTTTTAACTACCTAGAAGAAATAGAATTAGGGGCATTGACCATAATAAAAGTTTATCAGAGATAACCTCTTTTGACCTAACTATAGGGCAGGAGAAACTGCTATTTCCTACACATCTGCTTTTATCATCCTTAAATGACACTTTGAAGCCCCCAAGGCAACTTATCTCATCCCTGGCTCAGAATGTCTTATATACCCATTTTCCCTTTCTGTCTCTGAGCTTCTCATGCATGTGACTGTCATGTATGTAAGGTTCCCATACCTATGTACATATTAAATTTGGTTATTCTCTCTTGCTAATTTGTCCTATGTCTATTTGATTATAAGGCCAGCTGAAAGAAACTTGAGGGTAGAGGACAGTTTCTTCCTCCCCCACATAAGTAAACAAGGAACACAAGCAATTCTAAGTTAGATGGGCTGAGAAAGGACTACTACAAATTCTTAGTCATAGCAAAGGTGGAGAGAGAATTTAGTGAGTTCAGATTGTTCTGATTATAAAAGAATGCTCGGCTGACCAAATTCATATGTTTTATTTCTCACAAGTTTTGCTTGTTTGACGTAGGCTTTGAATTTGCCTTGAATTTCTCCAGTATTTGCCTTGAATTTTTAGATTTGTTGGTGGACTCTACTTTCAAGGTATACAGTTCTAAAGTTATATTCAAACACTGCCATCTTGTGGGGCATTCCTGTGTCTTCCATCCCTCAATGCTCTCACGCAAATATATCCATCCAGAAGATTGAGATATGTCAACTTTTATTAAGTGCAAAGAGGCCAACTAAGAGTTTTGCAGATATAATCTCATTTAAACTTCATAAAAACTTAATGAAAAAGGTACTATTAATCCCATGTTAGAGATGAAGTAACTGAGGCTTAGAGGGGTTATGTAACTTGCCTGCGGTTTCACAGCTAGTAAGGAGTAAAATTTTATATCCAAGCTGTCTGCCTCTAGACCCCTTGCTTTCACTGCATCCACACACAAAACTAATAAGTCTAAAAACAATATTGTGTGTCACAATAATACGAATAAGTCATAGAAGTTGTAGAGAGGAGGGGATAACTGTTAGGGCATCAGAGAAGGCTTCACAGTTTGGTGAGGAGGTGGCCTCCTCTAAGTGAGGAGGATAATCATTACATAGGAAGAATGCAGCTGGGGCCATATAACCTGGATCTAATAGTATAGCCTTTTTTGGGGAAACATCTCTTCACTCTGCTTCAGCCATATGACTCTAATAGAGTTTATCTATCATGATATCCTTGACTCCTCACCTAATCTGAGCCAGTAGGAGCCCATCAGGTGCCCCTGGAATTTTTGTGCTTGAGGCAGAGGGAACTCAGTGATATCTTCCCAAATGGCAAAGCTGAAGTGTGTCTCAGAAAGCTTCAACCAGCCAAGGGTTCTCACATTAAAAGCCATCCGGAGCAGAAGAGAATGAGGTCAAACAATAAGGTTTTAGTCATCTCTAGACCAGCCACATTACTGACCTTCCTGCAGTAATAACTATCCTTGCAGAACCTAATTAGGTTTGGGTTTTGATAAATTGCAACCATAAAAGTTCTGATATTCTCTTTTCTGTCACCAGCTGAAGTAGGGGCAACACTGGATTCCTTACCTCTATACAACTTGAATAACAACAAAATACATTTTGTTTATGAAAAATAGCTTTATTAATTTATTTTGGAAAAATGGCATTTAGGGTTTATTGCAAATGTTATGTGGCTTAAAAACATTTCTGCAGTGCTTTATTCTGGGCTCATCTCCAACTTCATTCCTGATGCCTGGGCTATTCTTCTTCTACTTCTCCCCATCTAAATCACTGCAATCTTCGAAAGCCATCTCTGAATTTATTTCTTCCTTTAAGTCTTCTTTAGAAATTCCAGTCAATTAGTTTTCCAAACTTTGATTTTTTAAATTGATCAAGTAACATTTAATTATTGCAAAAAAATAATAATAAATTACAAAATTCATAATGGTAGACATTAAGGACCACCCATAATTCTACACAATCATTGTAATTGGTATAATTCTCTTTCTTCTATGTATAAACACAAACAAAATTTTTTTAAAAGCCAAACAAAATGGCTGATTTTGATCTCTTCCTTCCCTAAACACATCTACAATGCATTTTTCATTTAATTGTATTTCATTTGTGCTATTTCCTAATCATGTCACTATTCGGTCCTACAAATAACCAGTATCTTTGAAGCACCTCATTTTCCAGGGAAATGAGGAGCAATTACAGATCCCTTGGGCTGCTTCATTCTTTCCCTGCTTTATCTAGTTATTTCCTACTCATTGTTCAGATCTTAACTCAAGTATCACTTCTTTTGGGAAGTCAGATGAAATTTATCATCATATTCATTGTAGTACTTGTAAAAATTTCAATCTAGCCTTATGTTTGGGATTATCCAGAACTATACATGTTTTTGTTCACTGTTGGGTCCCCAGTGCTTACCCACAGGTATCTGGCAGTTGGCAATTGTGAAAATAAATGAATATGAGTGCTTGGAATAATTCCACTGCTAGGGAGACACTTCTTTATTTGTAAAAAGCAACATTTACTATATGATGTATTATGGTGTGCTAGGCAATCAAAGTGATGTATATCTCTGTATAATTACATTTTCATGACCCTAAAATTCACTATTGCTCCTATTTTACAAATGAGGAAACTTAGGCTTCGGAAACGATAACTAACTTGCCCAGATACAAATAAGAGACAGAAAAAAGCTTTCAACCTAGGTGAATGCATTTATTTACATTATTAGCTTTACTTGCCATTGCTGGCTTCTTTGTTCATAAATGTAAAAGTCATCATATATAACTTATTTTCAAAATCGCTCAATGTTTACATTAGAAACTGTTTTTTGTTACATGTCAAAGTAGGAAGTAGGGCGCCAGAATAAGGGGCAAAGAGACAGAATATTGTATGAGGAAGGGCAACAGGAGAGCTAGTAATTCTCCTTTTCCCCTTTACTAACCAGCCATATGGCTTTGGGCTTCCACAAGGAAGGCTAAAAAAGGTGGGTAAAGCTAAACAGTCCGTCCTTAAGACATCTAGTCCAACTCTTTTGTTTTGAGGTTTGTATTACTGACAGCGTGGCAGGGCTGTACAGCCAACTCCTAACTCCTAGTGTTGTTTGTCTGAGTCACACTGCCCCTCCTTGAACGAACATTTACTGAGTGCCTTATTGTACGAGGCATTCAGCAGCAGTATGTTTCCCATTCGGTACCCTAATATCGATTATTGGCTACTTTTCTTTCCTTTTTTTTCTTTCACTCGACCACTTTTAAAACGCTCCATCGAATGCAGAGTTAAATGAGGGGAAAAGCGAGTGCAAGCCAGGCGTCGGGCACTGAGTGGCGTGACCGGTTCAGCAGCTGGTCACTCAGTAGACCCTAAGAAGTCAGTGATGCTTCTGACTAAGGGAGTGACTCCCAGATAATCTAGGTGTATAAGCGGGCCAGGGAGGGGCGAGGCTGCGTCTCTTAGAGACAACGCCTTTGGCTTTCCAGTGACCCCACTGGTAGGGCGACCGGAGGAAACTCTTCTGTGCAAAATCGCTACGCCTTTGGCTTCTGCTCTGTGGTGACCGGCTGCCCTAGGCATTCGGCCAGGTCTTAAAGGGGTCTCTACACCCGCGTTTCTCCTGAATTCTGAGTCTCCAGCTGCTACGAGAGCAACATTTATACCTGGGCGATAGCTGACCCCGAAGAGGGCATTTCCACCACCGCTGTTGGCCTAGAGTTCCCGGTTCAAACACATAGCCCCAAGGCCGGCAGGGTCAAGCTCCCTTAAGGGAGCCAGATAAGGGCAACAGCTTAGGTGCTGCCACGCGAGGCCTTTTGGGCAGGCAGCAGCCAATCCTCACGAGTCATACACGAGCCCCAGCCAATCAACGGCCGTCTTATTCCTGGGTCCCGCCCGCGCCGGCCCTTTTACCCTGCTCCTTCCATCCCTGTGACTGTAGTCGCGGCTGTAGCTGCAACCGCTTCCAGAGCTCACCCGGGTCTGGGGATCACGCTGGCGCGGTTCGCTTCCTCCTGTTGCCTTCACTGAGGATGAGTTCCTGCGCGGCCATGTGCCCACGCCGAGGAGACCGCGAGCGCACTTTCATCTAGCGACTGGTGAGGGAGGGCTCGGCTGGACTGTGCGGAGCGGGCCGAGGCGACGGTGCCCTTTCAGCCGGGAGGGGTGGGGGCGGGCAATGGGACAATATTCACTTTCCGGAGGGTGCGGGTGACCGCGGACTCCGGTGGCGCGGGTGGGTCGCGGGGAGGGGACCCAGTGGCGCCGAGACTGGCGGGCTTCGCGCGAGGCGGCGCGGGACGGGCGGGGTGTCCGGGTTCCTTGTAGCCGCCTTCACGCCGCCTCTCAGCTGATGAATGGTGTGTTCACGCGACGAGCTGCGTCGCGGACCGGCCGGACACACCCTCCAAAGCTGTTACCTTGCTAGTTTTCAGATAGTTGTCCCGTGTCCCTTCTCTTCCAGCCTAAAATTTGAAGTCATTCCTCGAGGCAGGCGTTATCCCCTTCATG